CAGCTCAAATTCACCAAAATAAACAGTAATTTCATTCCTTCAGCTCAAATTCACCAAAATAAACAGTAATTTCATTCCTTCAGCACGGGCGCTGGCAAAATAACTGGACCATTACKGTATGACAGCTTTGGCAGCTCAAGTTCACCAAAATAAACAGTATTTTCATTCCTTCAGCACSGGCGCTGGCAAAATAACTGGACCATTACGGTACGYACGGCCGGCAGCTGAAATTACTGTTTATTTTGGTCAAGTGAAGCTGCCGTAAGACTGGAGCGAATGAAAATACTGTTTATTTTGGTGAATTTGAGCTGCCATAATAGGAGCCTGTGCTAAAATTACTTAATGGTCCAGTTATTTTGCCAGCGCCCGTGCTGAAGGAATGAAATTACTGTTTATTTTGGTGAATTTGAGGAAAAGTTGTTCTAAACAGTATTTTCATTCGCTCAGGGCCTCTAAGTAAGTTTAAATTAGGGGACGGTATGATTTAAATTAATTTTACAACAGCCTTCCGAAAAAAGTTCCAGTTCAAATTATTTTCATGCTGAAAGTTCCAGTTCTCGTTTTAAGGACCCAATGGTACAGTATCTATTAGGGTTTTCCGCTACAACTTAAAAAAGTAACCAAGGAGGGTCATTCCCGTAGGTCTGGTAATACAGAACTAGAGATAATGGCAGGACGCACCAACAGACAGATTTAAAGAGCCAGCTTGGTGTGACCGTCCAAAATCTAGTCTATGAGTGTAATAACAAAACAAAATAAAACAAAACACACTATTTTTAGCAACAACCAGGAACAACAAGAATAAGCTTTGTTTGCTTCTTGCTTCTGCTACCAAATCACCAATCAGAGTTTGAGAATGTAAATAGTACTACTAGTCAGAAAGGATTTTCTTTCCTCTTTCTGCTCATGTGTATTTCTGATGGGCATCTTTTCCAGAAAACCTTTTCTGGCTTCTTGATTAATAGTACTACTAGTACTAGTAGTACTACTAGTACTACTCCTCTAGTACTACTAGTACTAGATCACACAAACTGATACTTTGGTGCTTTATTTTCCCACCTACATAAAATTGAATTCACATTTTGTAATGCTCTGCAATGGAATCCTCAAGTATGCATACACATGGCAAATATCTTGCCATTTTCCTTGGAACATGTTCTAGAACCACTCATTTCTCATATGGAGTTCCATTCCCTTTCTCATTCTCGGTTTCAATATTTGATTTTTTCATATTTTGAGACAAATTATCTCAACCATTTGAAAAGTATTTTGTGTTGTCACCAAAATATTATTTTGACTTCCTCCATTCCTCTTGTCTGTTTCAAATTCCTCTTCCGTGATGCCAACTCTCTGCCGCCTAGTGACAACTTCTCTATTTCTAGTACTAACACCAAATTTATTTCACAGTGAAGCAATTCTACCTAATTGAAAAAGAAGAAATTGTAAATGTTTTTTGCCAATGTTGTCACTATTTTTTGTATCCCCAATATTCTGTAATTGTTAGTACTGTAGTACAAGTACACGTACTTTAGTTTGGTTTCCATACAGCTCGTACCTTGGACTTCAGTTCGTTTAAGATCTCATTGTCTTCCCAATATTTTTTCTGATCAAAAATTTTCTCTATTTCTTGCAACTTTCTCTTTTTATTAATTCCATCCTCCCTGTTGTCTCCATTTTCTCTTCTGTACGCTGCCCTTAGTGCTTGTTCAATCTCCGCTGAAGCATCCTCTTCCTCTCCTTGCTTCTTTAGTACCTCTTCTACTAACTTTCCAAACAGCATATGTCCCTTGTAGCTCCAACCTTCTTTGTTACCTATCATCCTACTATCAGTGAATTGCTTTCTGGTTTTCTATCCACTCTCAGAATTATTCCATGATTCGTAGTCCTTGTACCAAAACAGCAGTGCAAATGCTTTGTCTGTTGCGGTGGTGAAAATGGAGCTCAGTTTATCCTTGTGTTGCCTTTGCTTGAATTCTGTTTGTTTAGGGGACACTGCCCCTAAAATCCTGGTTATGAAGTACTTGAATTCCAGACTATTTTCTTGTCTGTAGCTACTTCTTAGCACATATGTCTCTCCTCCATCTCCTTCTGCTATGAAGCAATTGCCACTGAACAATTCTGGTACTACCTTGTTTTTTTTTCTTCTGTACTTAACAAGCAGAGATTGATTATTGTGGTGCTGAGTCACAAAGTCTCTCAATTGTGTCTGATATTGTGCATGCACTTGCATCCGTTTTGCTTACCCTCATAATTTTTCCTTGCCAACGTCTGTGCATTGTGTCTGCATGCAGTAATAGCACCTTTGATAGTCCCTCCCTACCTTGCCGCAGTGACTACCAAGCTATCTGGAACTGGGTCTGTACCAAATGTAGTTTTGAGGTTGACCATTATGACGACATCTAAAACTTCATCTTCAACATGAAACTTTTTGTACTTGAAAAATCTCTCCTTAATGTAAGTCACCAGATTCTTAGTATTCATCATGACTGTCTCATGGCGTCATAACCTGAGAGAAGAATAATGCAGCAAGCTGTTGCAGTTGTCAGTGCATGTCATGCGCCTCTTCTTGCTCTGTGAGCAATCTGCGGTACTACCATTCATTGTGTCATCAGATTTGTCATGGTTGTCTTCACTTTTGGTTGCACTTTGCAGAGCATCAAGTTTCCAGGAGGCATTTTGAATGCCATGAGGACAGTTACAGTGTCAACAGGTCATTTTGGTATTAGCAGAAGTGAAGTGCCAATACATCTTGGTGTGTTGCTCTGTGTTGCCTACAAAGTAAGTGACAGCAAACTTCAATCTCCCATTCATTCCATGGACAAGAATTATGCCACCAAATATCATTCAATGATTCAGAAATTGAAAGGAAGGATGCAAGAGCTGCCCATAGACCATAATGAAGATTGTTTACATTGTCAACGTTTTTTCCCCTTGAGGTTGAAAATAAAGAGTCTCCCAAGTGTTGGGTCTAGTGGATTGGGTGAGATCACAGAATATACCAAGAGTCATATTCAATGGACAAAGAGTTGTGCTTCCGTGCCTATCTATAGCAATGTCATTCATGTAGAATATAATGGGTAGCAACATTTCATCTTTATTTCAATCACACTTTTTTTTCAGGTTTCAACCCACCATTTCCCATGGTGAAGTTTGCAGATGAGGGAGTCTGCTGTTAATTTGGGGGTGGCACAGAGAAGTGGGGTTCTTTTGATTGGGGAAAGATAAATTTTCTTCTTTGATTGATGAAACATTGGTTAAAAGAGATTGCAATGCGCATCTAAAAGACCTTACGTACTAGAATACTTTGTTGCCAACTGTGTTTCTGGAACACCATTCAATAAGCTGTGGTGCAAAACGATCACTGCGTAGTTCAGGAGCCACGTTTGTAGCATTCGTCTAAAACAGATTGGCAAGTTTTGATCAAACTGCTTCTAGTACTCCAGGTAAAAACCAGACAACCTTGAGCTGCACCAAGGGGCAGCACCTCCCTCCAAGGAGGTTTTGTGGAGGTGTGACCAAGTTTTATGCACACTGACAGGCCAATGAAGGCTTGAGGCTGGATTGAGAGGACATGAGTTGGTTCACAGTTTGGATGGATGAGAACCATGCCAATATCATTTCAAAGGGCACTGCCAAGCCAGAAGGCAAGTTGCCTCACGCAGTAATCAAGGAAATGGGTGCCGAGCATACTGCCATGTCAGTGAAGGCATGCTCAATCGCAGTGTACAAAGACACTTGTGGTGCAGTAGTCAAAAAGAAAAGCCTAATAAAATGACGCTTACTACTATTCACGCTGAAGAAGACTCTCAGGCACAACAAATAAGAAGATAATCATTACAAACTTGCAACTTCGTGTATTTTGGTTTTGGTTCTACAGCATCCGCTGCCGTATTTTCATATTATAAAAAGACTTATTATTTTAGGTTGATCATGAAAACAATTTTCCTTCGGGAATACAAAAACATTCCTAAATTAACCTTGGACACAAAAAGAAGCCATATTCTTTTGGCATGCGCTTGCCAACAACAAGGCGTTGAATTTAAACGAATTCAGCATGAAGGCTGTTCCTTTCATTCGTTGGACTTTCTGGCTGAAACAAAATGCACAGATTTAGTCCACGTAGTCGGATATAGTCTGGTTAAGTTTGCGAGCTAACTCAAGCTCCTTCAGGAGGTTGGCGTTCGTTACCTCCAGGTCATTCTTTTCCTTTCTTAGCTTTTCGTATTCTTGCGATCTGCTATATGCTTCACCMTTAAAGTTGGTTTGTAATTTCACCAGTTCGCTTTTCAATTTATTGATCTCTGTTTGTTTCATGGAATTCTCACTTTCAAGCTTCTCGACAATGTCATGTGCTTCATCGCCATTCTCAGGAGCCTGTCCAAATAGTCGTCGCAAATGCCAAGAACCATTGCCGTTTGCTGTCGATGTATTCATGACCTTCTTTTCCACGGCAGCTGCAAGGAATAGAGCTTGTGGATCTGTTTGGACTACATTTTCGTCAAAACTGCTGCATGAATCATGGTTGTTCGATTCTTTTGCTTTCTTTTCCCAATACTCGGACATTTCTTTCCATTTGAAAGCTTTATCCGACCATTCACCGGATTTCTTCTGCCATTCCATAGTTTTCTTTTTCTGATTATCTACTTCTAATTTTTGTTCAACCACTTCGTTCTCAAGACTACTCAAAAGAGCTACCATTTCCTTTGATGCAATCTGAAGGTCGCTCACTTCATTTGTGAGTTCCATATTTTTAATATGCGCATCTTCAAAGTCTACCTCTTTAACCGCGGCGGCAGCTTTCAGCCTTTCAATTTCTTGGAGGAGAGCGGGTGAATTATTAGGGGCAGAATCATGATGTTTTTGTTCCTTAGTGAGTCGTGCTACTTCTTTTTGCAGTTCGCCAATAGCATTATCCTTCTTCTGTAATTTGATGGTAGAATCCAACTGTTCGCCCTTCAATCTTCCTTTTAATGCAGCATTTTCATCTTCCAAGGTTTTCAAGATTTTGTTCATTTTTTCTTCCTTTCTTTGCTGATCTGCTTCTGCAATCTTCAACCTATCATCTTCTCGCGCTCGTTGTTCTTCAAAATCGCGTTCTTTCTTCCTTTGTTCTTCATAGCATCGCTTTCTCTCTGCTTCGAATTCTTGCTTTTGTTCTTCTAAAATCCTATTCCTTTCTTTTATGCGATTTTCCTGTTCTTCAAATTTCCGTTTTTCAGCTTCTTCTTTCGCCCTTCGTAGATGATCTCCGTTTTGATTCCCATCGGAATTCAAAACTGAATCTCGTTCGGCAGCGTCCTTGTATGTAGTCAGGTCTATCTCCAGGCGTTTAACCTCCGATTCGAGCTTGTCTATGTGTTCATCCGCGTACAACACATCGGCCTCGAACTGCTTCACGTTTTCTACGGATTTGCGCAATTCCTCCTCAAGTTCAGCAATTTTTTTCTCTCGATCCGCCAGTTTTTGTTTCACGCCTTCTAGTTCAGTTTTTGTGCTTCGAGCTTCTTCAACTGATTTTGCGTAATCAATGTTGACCCTTGCCAACTCCTTCGCAACATCAGAGAGTTCCGTAAGCTCGCTTCGCTGTGCACTCCTCGTCATTTGTAATGTATCTTGTACATCAGCAAGTTTTGTTTGCAGCGCTGTGATATCTCCCTCGTACTCGTCCACGATCTTCTTTAGAGAGATTACTTCTTCACGACTATTATCTAACTTTCGACGATATCTTTGCCTGTCATCCGTCAATTTTCTTAGTTCTGCTTTGTAGAGGTCGCATTTCCCCTGAAGCTCGTGAATTTTTTCGAGCTTAGTCTTTTTACCTTTATCCGCTGGGAAAGTACCACTTCTTGTCGAACAATCACCTTTGACGCCTTCAATTCGAGAAAAGGACTTGTTTGATATTTCTCGCTCGCTCCTGCTCCGTTGACCCAGGATAGGACGATCATCTGCCCAAGCTTTTTCAAAGGAATCTCTTTGCAACTTATCCAACGCATCCAAACTTTTGCCTCTTTCTCTTCTTTTTTCTTTATTCTCCTGGTCCGATTGTCGCCTCTGAATCGATCGAATTGAACGAAGGCTCGAGCTGCTTTTGCCATATCGATCATCGTTCCTGCGCTCGTCTGAACGTCTTCTGTTCTTGAGATTGGATTGAAAGTGCTGCTGCGACGACGACCGTCGCCTGGGTTTATCCAAATCATCGCGGTTACTGTCGTCCAAGACCACTTTTGGAACCGACTCGGAAGTCGACCGTCCCACTCTTCTTTCACATGATTGGGTCCTGTTTCTGACACTTCCAGCCAGGGACCGGTGTCCGCTGCGACTAGAGCTCCGAATATTTTTTCCTCCCCTACGAGTGGACGATCCTCTTCTGCTCTTTTCGGTTGAGTAATCGCCGGTCTCGTCGTATTGTAGCAATCGATTGATGTCGCTATTACTCCTTATGCGTCGACCAGAACTCGTGCGTTCCATTTTACGATTTCGACGATGGCCTGTATCTTTATTCTCGCTATCATCCTTGGAAAGCATCGACATTGAAGATGCCACGGTGCTCGCACACGATTCATTCCCAGAAGACCGCATCTTGGATCGTGTTCTGCCCGAATGACTCGATTTTTGATCGGAACTCTTCGTCTTTTTGTCCCTTTGCTCTTTATTTGAATTGTTGCTGTTCCTTCTGCCATTGTGGGACGGCAAATTGCTCCTGCTTTGTTTTGTGCTTGAACGAACCGTTTCCCTGATGTCCTGTTCAAGTTCGTCATAAGGATCTTGTTTTCCGTTGGACACTCTATTGTTCCTATTTGAAATTAGCGAGGTACGAATAGACTCCCGCTTGCTCAGATTGGCGTGAATATCCTCTAAATGTTCGTCATAGACATCGTGCGTTGCAAATTTGCCACTGCTGCTCAAACTACTGGTCCCTGTTGCATAAGAGAGAATTTCATCTGCGTCGGTCATCGCAGGAGACATGTTCTAGAGCTAGGCGCTGATGTTGGAACACTGGTCCCACGCAAAATTAATATGAATACAGAGAATTGTATCTAAATCACCAGAGCGGGGGGGGGGGCAACATGCATTCTCTCTGTCTCTCTCTCCCTCTCTTTCCTATACGCACACACTGGTTCTCTCTCTGTCTCTCGCTGTTTTGGGACCTAAGGTTTACGTGTTCAACAAGATCAAACAAGATATTGTTGTGGTGCTCTATTAATGTACTCCTCTCGTGCTTCCGGTTCTCTATTGTGCTGCGTCGTTTGGTAGCTATGTTCAATAATTATGGCTTCTGGAACGTTCCTTGTGTTTTGACAAGTCTTTTTTTCCCAGCCCAATTCTTGCTGCCGTTGGAAATACGTTGCGAGCTTGTTAAATTTTTCGTGCGTGACCACTTCGTATTCGAAAGACATTTTTTATTCTGTTTTCATTCTTCTTATCCTAGAATCAAGGGTGTAATCAGAATTAGTGGGTTCGCAGGAATGACAGAAAGTTGCATAGAATAATCCAAAGTCATTGGGTGGTATCGAATAAAAGCGAACCTCGACCAGCTTCGGATAGTCATATCTGGACACATATCCCTTGTAGACATTTTTATTCTGTTTTCATTCTACTATACCTAAAACTAAAAGTGAAACCAGAAAGATGGGTTCGCAGCTGCCAAACCATTGGGATTGAATATAAGAGTAGCTTGATAAATTGAGAAGTCATTGGGTGGTACTCATGTTGGCATTAAAGAGCGAACCTTGACACGAGCAAAGAGCCTTTCGTCTTTTCGGGTTCGAACGGCATCGCTTGGTTCCATCACGTTCTTATACCAATAGGATTCTGAAATTGTTCGATTGTAACATTTCGATCTATGCTTCGGGATCTCTTTGCCACATTTATGACCAATTTCACACTGATGTCACATTGGCGAAGAACCTCGATCCAATGGCAAAACTATTCCGCAACTACCGGTATCATTCCATCCGGTATGCAAACTTACAAGAGACAAGCGCAATATAACGAAAATCAACAAAAAATGACAGTCTATAGTTCTTGGCTATTATAATCGCACGAAGGCTTGAAGGTCTTATTGCAACACACGTTGGTACATTTTTCAAGTTGATGGCCGAAGCGAACCAACGAAGAACAATGATAGCTCCACAAGTTCTTCTTAGTGTGATAAAGTCTTCCAGATATTCACCATCCGTACAACAGGATGCTTGTAGGCTATTCTCTTGATTTATGGTCGAAGTGAACCGGTCCTATATTTGTACAGTTTCTGTTGAATAACTACAAGGATATCTATTGACAGGTTTCTTCAGTGGCTACCAAAGCTACGTTTGAATTTATCATCGGCACTGGATTGAGATTTAATATATTCCGTTGTCCAACTTCCATTGGTTACAGTAGATCACTATAACTGTTAATTTCGAACTAGGGACTACAGTAGAGAATACGAATTCAAAACGATTTCAAATACACTGTGTGTTGTAGACCCGCCGCCGCTCCGAACACCGGGGAAACTCCCGGCGCGCGTGCGATCCTACAACAGAATCTTGTACTTTTCCTTGCTCGGGACGTGGTTCAGCACGACTTTTCCGTCGTACGAGGCACTCAGGTAGATCCAGGCATCGGAGGCACCCCAGGCCAGGGCGTGGATCGAGTCCATGTGCTCGTACCGCGACACCCGCACGTTGGGTCCCTCCTGGGTGTTCTGGTGCTGGTTCTGGTGCTGACCCTGCGGAAGGGACTCCCCGTCCTCCGCCGACCCGTCGTCAAAGGTCAGCAAGGGAGCGCTAGAAATCGTCGACATCCTCCACAGGTTCACCAGCGAGTCCGTCCCGGCGCTCAGAACGAGCTGGTCGTGGAAGGGGTTGTACCGGACCCGCGTCGCCCAGTGGCGGTGCCCCCCACGTGCCACCAGCAGCGGCCGCTGCTTCTTGGTCCTCCCGGCGGAACCCCCGGCGACAATCTCCTGGCCCCCGCCGCTGTCGGCGTCGAAGAAACCGCTCCCGGTGTTCCGCAGGTCCCAGAACTTGAGGAGGCCGTCCCTGCCGCTCGTGACCAGGAGATTGGGCTTGTTCGGATTGAAGTCCAGGTCCGTGATGCCGTACCGGTGGTGCGGGCGCCCGCTGCTTCCAAGGGAAGGCGCCGACGGCGGTTCCCTCCAGTCGACCAGCGTGACCGCTTCCCCGCTCGACACCGCCGTGAGGTCCGGGTGGTGGGGGTCCCAGGCCATCCGGGGCGGGAGGCCGGGCCGGAGCGGGGACGACAGATCCGCGGCGCAGCTCCGGGTGGACTCGGCGCTGCCAAAGGCCACGTCCCACTGGGTGAGGGTCCCGTCCGAGCACAGGGTGGCGACGTCTCCCATCGTCGACTCCGTGGACGGATCCCCGTCGTCCCAGGCGGCCCCCCTCCAGGCCAGGTCGGTGAGGCGCGCCGAAGCGCCGGAAGACGCAGATCCGCGCAGAACGGCCCGCTCCTCCATGGCCGAAGCGCCGTCGCTGCCCGCACCGCCGTAGTTCGCGCTCGGGCTTTCGTCGTGGCCGTAGTTGTAGCCGTCGTGGTCGTTGTCGTCTCCCCCGTCCGAGTCGAGGTCTGCCGGAACGCTGTCGATCGATTCCGGCGGGATCTTCCAGAGCGTGGCCTCCGAGGGATTGTTCTCGGCGGTCGTCAGCACGTAGGAGGGATCGGCGGGGCTCGTCCGGATGCACCCGACGGGACCGGTCGGGTGCGAGAGCCTGGCATCGATCCCCAGCTGGTTCGCATCGGTGTGGAACCGCAGCAGCAGCAGGTGGTTGTCCTCGCTTTCCCGGACCGAACTGGTTCCCGCGAGAAACTTCGAGTTCACCCTGTCTCCCCGGACGGCGTCGACGGCGGCCACCGGCCGGTTGACCGACAGCTCGGCGGCCTGGTTGGAAAACATGGCGGTATTTTGCGTGTGCGTTCTCGGTGCGTGCGGGGGCTTGGTCTGGTCTGGTCTGGTCTGGTCTGTTCTTTCTGCACCGCGTGTCGTGTTGTATCGTGCTGTGCTGTGCTGTGCTGTGTTGTGTTGTATTGTATTCTTTTGGTATTGTTGATGATGATGATGATGAATCAGGGTGGCGGTGCCATTGGGATCTTCGATTAGTGATCACTGCAACAGCATCATTGTGAGGCACGGTAAGTACCGTATGATGCCAACCGTTTTTTCTCGCATTTTGGTATTTTGTAATCAATGACCTTCCGTCTATTCACTCATAGTGGGTGTACATATGGTAGGTACGTACGTACGAACAACATGTGCAACATTATTTTTTATTTCAATATTTCAATAGTTTATCGGAGTGTATGGTGTACTACCGAACGACATTTTTTCAAAAAAAACGGGAACAAAACGTTGTTGCAGAATTCCGAAAGGCACTAGCATCTTTTCTGGTGCTAAGCCAGTAGTCCCATGACGGGAACACAGCGATTACTACAAGGAGAGGTATTAGGCCGGGAGGAATAAATATTCAAGTGGTTGATCTTTTTTCTTGTTGGCTTGGGGTTGACATTGATATTGATATTGATATTGGTGTTCCCGTCTCCCGTCCGAAGAATCACCATCGGTGTGAATCGTGCTTTCTCCTGTGCAACAACCATTCAAAAAATACCTGCACGAAACAGTGAAAGCAACGAGTGCTTCTTTCTCTCTGGACAAAGGACCCAATCGCTCCATTAGACTGCGCGGTTCTTGTTCCAACAAATGTAATGTTGCGGATACATGTAGTATCAGAACGATTTGGATCCCTCCGCCAATCCCACGAGCATGCATTGTTCGTAGTTCGTGAATCGGAACCGGTCCCCCGAACCGAACCGACGATTCCTTCCCGGAGAGCATAGCCTTCACGCGGTTTTGTGGTGCAGAGTCGCTGCCAAACGAAAGCAAGCGACCGGAGTCGTCCGATGTTTGTGTTGCGCCGAACAGGCCACAGCTCGTCCGATCCCTTGCCTACCGCCCGCTGTTGCGGTTCATTTGCCTCGCAATGGCGTCCACGTCCTCCAGGAGTTTTTTCGCCGCTTCCGTGGTCTGGTCCGAGTCGTCCAGCTCGATGGCCCGCAACAGGCACGACCGGGCCTCCTCCAGGCACTCTCTCCCGAGCACCGGATCGGCCGCCCCGGCGGTCGACCCCTTCCGCAGGGCGATGAGCGCCAGGTTGACAAAGGCGGTCCCGATGGGCCGCTGCTCGAGCGCCAGCCTAAAGTGTCGCTCCGCCAGGTCCTGCGTGCTTGCGTCCCGAAAGTAGACGGCGCCGATGTTCACGTGGACCTCCGCAAACATCTCCGGCGAGACCCCGCAGCCCTCGGCGGCCTTGACAAAAAACTGGTATTCCTTGAGGGCGCCGGAAAGGTCGCCCGACCGCTGGAGGACGAGGCCCCGCTGGAAGATGACCGAGAGGGGCTCCTCGTTTTCAAGCACCGGGTCTCCCCCGTTGCCGTTGCCGTTGCTTCCCAGGAGGACGTGGTTCTGCGCACCGTGGCGAACGCCGGGGGTTCCAAACCGCACCGGTCCCCCGCCGGCCTTCGGCGGTGCCAGCCAGGCGGCGGCGAAACCGCCCGACGAGAGCAGGCAGCACGCCCCCCGCAAGATCGTGGTGGAGCAACGCATGGTGGTATAGTAGAACAGAATGGTGCTGTTGCGTGTTTGCGGTGGTGGGCGGAGCACTCGGTAGGCGAGAGGCGACGACGGGAGTCCAAGGTGGTGCACTACAGTAAATGGATGACGGAGCGGATTCGCACAATTATTGATTCGTAGCGGAGACAAGAGAAGCTAGCTACAAAGGGGAACACTCCTGGTGATGATTGTTTGTTGATGATCCGAGATTTCGAAAATGTTGTACACAAGTGATGGGTGAGAACTGGAAGACCAATTCGAAAAGGGTTTGGTTGGACGTCAGCCCGTCGTCAGTTTGACATTGATTGGTATCTCTCTCCAACGGCACCGAGGGAGCAGTCATACGGCAGGATTACCCAGGTATTGTACGTACGGACAGTACTTGTAACTCGTACGTCCTATTCGACTAAGTGGTTGTATGGTTCAATTATGTACTTAACCACGTGTCGCCTCAAGGCAGCATTGGTACATTTAATTTACCATACATAGAGTATTGGTACAATAAAGTCCAGTTGGTACAATAAAGTCCAGTAGAGATAGGGTTATCTGGTACCGTATGTAGATTGAAAATCAATATCAGCAGGTCTACCCCCGGATAAGAAACAAATATTTACCTGTAGAACTGTACAG